AAAAAAATATAATTGTTGGTCTATATATGTTTAGCTTGTTTTAGTATCAATTCTATTTTTTCTATTACTTCAAGTCCCTTAAGGTTCATCTGCTTGCATTGCTAGTTCCTATATTTTTATATATGATCATAAGAACTTAACAGTAGCTAACATAAACATAATATCTATTACTTTTTGTGATGACTTACTAAAATTATGATGAGTTGCATAAAAAATGAGTACAAGGAAAAAAAGTAGGACATTAAATCAGAATCATTAAACGTGCAATGGATGAAGTTTTAAAAGGAAGAAAACATTCCATCTAGGGTAGAAATGCAAAAAGGTTAGTGGTCATTTTGCTTATACAATATCCAACTCATCATAATTTTACTATCTTCACAAGACAATTAAGATAATTATGTACACATAAGCATATTTAACAATACCAATAATGATGAAGACTAATATTACAGACCAATGAAATTTAAGAGACTTGGAGCAATGAAAAAAATTATAGGGACTAATTAAAAACTAATGTTAAACTCATATTTTATCTCATTAATACACATCTTCACATGTTAATTAAAAAAAAACATAGGAAGTTGTTTTGTGGCATTACTATAATTAAAAACAAAATAAAAGTTTTCTACATCAATTTCTCATCAAACCAACATAGAAAGTAGAAACTTTTTAAATCATTACTGGTGCCATGTAGCCAATTGTAGCCAAGGTTTTGGTGTAAATTTCATTTTGTCCTTCCCCTAACAATTTGGCGATACCAAAATCACCAAGATGAGCCACCATATCTTCATCCAACAATACGTTGCTCGGCTTTACATCACAGTGAATAACTAACTTAGATGTACCATGATGAAGATATTCTAATGCAGTTGCCACATCAATCAATATATTCAACCTTTGCAAGATATCTAAACACTTGCCATGAGAGTGCAGCCATATATCAAGACTCCCATTTGACATGAATTCCATGATTATAGATTTAAAATCATGTTTTGAGCAACAGCTAATTATCTTGACAAGATTACGATGATGTAAATTGCATAAGGCATCACATTCAACATCAAAACTCCTTAATGTTTCTTCCAAGTCTGAGTTAAATACTTTAACAGAAACTATTCTTTCATTTGAAAGGATTGCTCTGTATACTGATCCATAACTTCCAAAGCCAAGAAGATTATTCTCATCAAATCCATTTGTTCCTCTTAGAAGCTCATAATGGGATATCCAAATTGGTGTCTCCAAATTTATTGAATCCCTATTGGTTAAATCATTAACATCTTCTCTAGTATGCTTTAGAAAGGCAACGCATGAAACAACCAAAATGACAACCATAATAGGCAATGAGAATTTCATGAACATCATCACTTTTGTTGATATATGCTTGTTTTCTTTCCTACATGATTGGACTTGCAGTTAGGACTTCCCACAAAGATCCTTGTTCATCATAAAAGATTGAGCAGTGAAATTTAGAAAAGGCCCACCATTTGGAATTTCTCCATGCAATAAATTGTGGGAAAGATTACTGTACTTTAGATGGATTAGTGACTCTAAGGACTTTGGAATTACACCAGACAAATAATTATGAGAAAGATCCAAGAACTCCATGCTTATCATGCTACCAAGTGATTCAGGAATTGGCCCTTCTAATTTGTTATGGGCCAAGGACAGGTTTAGCAAGGTTTGCAAGCCACCCATAGTTTTTGGGATACTTCCTAAAATTTGATTTCTCGACAAGTTTAATAATGTAATTGCTCTCAAGTTTGATACCTCAAATGGGATTATTCCACTCAATGCATTGGAGGATAAGTCTAAAACCAAGATATCTATGAGACTCCAATGAGAAAGGGTATATGAGAAATTAATTTGTTAGAGCTAAAATCTAACTTCCGCAGTGAAGTATTCCCAAGGCACCTTGGAACCATTCCTGAAAACATGTTGTTGGCAAGATACAACTCACTTAAACTTTTGAGTTGGCAAAGTTCATGGATAATGGACCCTTGCAATCTATTGCCACTAAGACTTAAATATTGAAGGTTTCGTAAATTGTTAATTGTGTTAGGAATCAAACCCTCCAAATCATTCCCTTCCAAATATAATGCTATCAAGTTTGTTAAGTTTCCAACTACGTTGGGTATAGCTCCACTAAATTTATTCAAAGCCAGGTCTAACTTGAAGAGTTTAGAAGAATTTGAGATGCTGTTTGGAATTTGTCCAGTTAGTTATTCTCATCCAACATCAATTCCTTCAAGTTGGGAAGGCCAATTCCTAAATGTTGTGGGAGAAGGCCATAGAGAGAATTACAGCCTATGTTGACATGTGTCAATGATGAAATGTTGAATATATTGGAAGGAAAAAGTCCACTGAGATGGTTACTTGATAAATCTAACCCTTCAAGTCCATCAAGATTGCCAATTTCTTTGGGTATAAAACCTAGACACAAAAAATGGTGGATATATAGTGACATTTTTATAAAATAATAAATCTTTGATGAAGACTAACACAAACACTTTTATATATGTGGTAGCAAAGAGTATACATACCTGTGAATGAGTTGGTGTCCAAATATAGTAGTTTCAATGATGTGCAGTTACTTAATGATTTTGGAATATTTCCATCCAATTGATTCACAACAACTGATAAGATTTCAAGTAGCGCGAATTGATGGCACATCTCTTCTGTCATGTTACCATGTAAAAGGTTGTTGTCAAGGACAACCGTTCTCAAAAAGGGCATGTTGAATAGAAATGGAGGGATTGTGCCTATAAAAAAATTTTAAAAAATATTTGTTTATTAGTAGCTACTAAGACTAGACTGGTCTACAATATTTAATATTGGAGATAACACACACACACACACACACACGAATAAGCATTGCGTTTAAACACAAATAGCCATGTATGAATAATAATGAAATTGTGTTAAAGCATATCACAGTACCTGTGAAGAAGTTGTATTCTAATTCCAAGGATTCCATCAACGTCCAATTGGCAATTAATATTGGAAGAGTGCCATTTAAATTGTTTCCCCATAAACTTATTCCATCAGAGTAGAAATGTTGGATAGAGATGATGGAATTTCACCTGTTTAAAATTAATAATGAGCAAAAGTATCATTTATATTTTATATTAAAAACTATTAAACTAATTAACTACAGTTACATTGTTCTAACATTTACCTTTAAGCTTATTAAACTAATCAAGGTGTCGCGACATGAGTGAAAGTAAGGTACAATTATATGATAAAACAAGAAACTAGGAAATCGTATTAATTGATTCCATATTCTAAGAGTTCAAAAAATATATAATGTAATATGTATGAATTATGATTGAGAGAATAAATACAATTATTATTTATAATGTTTTTACCAATCAATTTTTGGTAACGGTAGATAATACTTTTTTTTTTTTTACATTTTGCATTATATATTTACTCTAATATTGAAAGTTAATGAAGATTACTATGGCCACATTCCCTGCCTTTGTGAAGAGAGTCCTACCACACACACACACACACACACAAAAACAAACAAGATCTACTTTTTTTGTTTATTATTATTATTATTATTATTATTATTATTATTATTATTATCACGTTTTATCAATTTATTGTATTAGTATATAGTAATTTTTTTCCTTTTTATTATAAATATAGAAGAAGATAATTGCCACTATTGTCTATTTTCTTCACGAAGCATCCAAAGCATATAACAGACTAACTACATATATACAAGATAACATCAAAATAATAACCATATTCCTAACTAGATGAGTTAAGCTAACTAAGGTTGGCTAAGTACAACTAACTACAGTTTAGTTAACAACGTATGTTAGCATATGCAGCCTAGCTATGAAACGATTTTCAATCTATTTGGAAAGATTTTCTATTTCAATATGTGATTGATTCATACACTTTGTCTCACTTTTATATATCACTAATTATTTTATAGTCTAAACTATACATAATAAGCCTGAAGTCTGGATTGTATATAGATAAACATCCTTATCCTTTTAAAACCTTACAATAAACCTCCATAAATTTTACATTTATGAAAATCATCCTCTAGCTGTTAATTAATTAGTCTATTATTTCATTAATATAATATAATATGACAAGATTTACTTGCACACCAAAAAAATCGGGGAATTATCACACATAATTTGATGGGAATTGAAGTTATCTACACCAAAAAAAATATAAATTTTAAATATTGGAATAATTTGGTCAATAAAATATTATGTTCCATTAAAGAAATAAGAGAATAGATAACAACAGGGGTTTCTCTGCCTAAATTTGAAAGTTTATGAGTTATGAGTTCTCTTTGTTAGAGTTTTGTATAATTATTTATCCTATTTTATATAATTTTATTCATCATATTCACTTTTGGACTATGCAATGTAATCCAAAGCTGATGGACACTTAAATTTCATGATTTGACAAAAAAGCTATCAGATTTCATATTTGAAAGTGGTCGACCAATTAAATAATTATGTTTGTAGAAATAGAATTAGGTCTAACAAGCATTGGTCATAGTTGAAGGGGCTACATATAAGTGCTTAAGCGCATCTCGAGTTTGAGTCTATATGAATAAAAAAAATGCTTGCTACCCCAAATTCGGACTAGCAAAATAGAGACTTTATAACAATTAGGTCTCTAACAAAAAAATTTAAAAATAAGATGCAAATATTAATTCAAATAATTATAAATAGAAATTTAAATTTGCAAATTGACATGTATATTTAGAATTCAAAAATCTTATTTGTAATTAATATTCACAATTGATTTTATAGAAAATTTTGCTGGGACCTAACTGTTATAAATTTATTGTTTTGAGACTTTAATATCATTCTCCCTTTGCATCATAGATTAGTGACCCTGACCTATATATCAAAAGAAATTTGCAATCTTCTACCAAGAAAAAGAAAGAAAGAAAGAAAGAAATTTGCAATTAATGTATAATTCATCAAGAGGAACAATAAACAAATCATGGGTATAATTAAGAATTATACCTTCCAAGTTGTTTTTGAAAGATGTAAAAGTCGGAGGTTGGTCAAATTTCCAATGTCACTTGGTATGTATCCTCTGTTGAATCTATTATCAGATAATGATATCTTTGTCAATTCTTTGCACTGATGCCAAATAGAGGGCATTTTGCCAGATAAATAATTCTCCTCCACAAGAAAAGTCTCAAGCTTTGGTAGGCCAAAGCACTCATTTGTTGGAAGACTGCCGGATAATTGATTTGTTCCCGTTGCAATGTGTTGTAGCATTGAACTATTAAATAAAGATGGTACAGAACCAACAAGAAGATTTCGTTCAAGGTACAATTTCTTTAGCTGTGGAAGATAACCAACCAGATATGGAATGCTTCCTTGAAATATTAGAAAAATAAAGAGTATTAGGAATAATATGTTTGGGAATGGATGCTCTGAAATTGAGAGTATGTGACTTTCATAAAGTTTATCTTTTTAAAGAAGAGAGCAGATACTTTATATTTTATTGAAAATAATAAAATAAGAAAAATATCAAAAATAAAGAAAATTTCATAGAAATTCATGGATATCAGTGTAAGACGAATACATTCTTAATGATACATATAACACTTCCAATTCGATTGGACTAAGAAACATAATATAACTTATTTTTAATATGCTGTGTTTTTCTTTTTTTTTCTCTTTTAATGTGTGATTCATTGAGAAACTTGGAAGGATAGTTATAACCCTTTTTATATAAAAATGAAGAAAATAAACAAAACTAGTTATCGAAAAGAAAATGTAGGATTGGCGGAAAATAAAAGACAAAAAGATAAGAAGCAATTGAAAACGCAATTCATGAATAGCAGATCAGTATATAGTAGCAAAAAAAAATATAGATACTAAAAGAAAACCAACACATACCTGATAAAGTGTTGTTAGACAAATTCAATATTTCATGTGATGATAAATTGGAAATTCTTTGAGGAACGATTCCTGAAAGCTTGTTAGCTCCCAGTTGTAAAATCTTCAAATGCTCGAGTCTTCGAATCTCAACTGGAATGATTCCTTCCACCAAATTAGAATTTCAATCTAAGATCTCTAACCTTGATAGATTGAAAAGAGAAAATGGAATAATTCCACTAAGACTATTGTTTCGAAGATTCAAGTGCTCAAGTGCAGATAAATGTCCTATCCATGATAGAACTTGTCATTCAAAGTCATTGTAGCTCAGGTTCAGTAATTTCAACCTACGGAGTTGAACAAACTCATTTGGTGTTTGGCCATGAAAATTGTTGTTACTAAGATCAAGTTCACTAAGAAATGAGAGATTTCCCAACCGTGGAGATAAGATGCTCGTCAGACCCATATCACTAAGATTCAAGGAATTGACTCTTTCAGTGTGAATATCACAAGTGACACCAACCCATTTACATGGAGAAAAAGAGACAGACCAATTGGCTAAGATATTGTATGGATCTGAAGTGACAAAGGTTTTAAGAGCAAGAAGTTCATATTTGTCAGAAATGATGTTTGTCTCACTCCAAGCAAAGGAGGCTATGGAGCAACATTGAAGTGAGAATAAGAGAAGAAGAAAGGAATGAAGTTTTCCCATGATTAGCATATTAGACTGATCAAAGATATGCAAGCTCTGTGCAATGAGGAATACACATTCTCAAAATTTATAATGGGACAATTTTTTTTTTATATTATTACAAAGAATTTTTCAATCGATCGTCAATATTTTCATTTCTATAATTAGTGGTGAGACAGATCTGTAGTTAATGGGCACTTTTAGCTTTTCATTATCATTCTTTGGAAAAGATGTTTTAATTATTTAATTATTTGTTATATTATAATCCATACATAAAGTATTAAAAAGAGAGAGAGAGAAAATCGACAATCAACTTCTGCAGGTGTAAAGACATAGGAAAAATATTTAAGAAAAACATTTTCTTACTGCAAAACTAAATACATTTTTACATTACGATACTTAAACTTCAGTGATTAAAAAAATTTGTAAAGGAAATGTTGCAATTACTTATCTTGTTTTAGTTATTGTTAAAAAAAAAAGTCTAACACTTAAACCAAAGTAATTATTGATATTTACAATACTTAGACTTTATTAATAATTAAAAAAATTAATTGCAGAGTAGAACTTATTATTTGCTATCCTGTTTTAGTCAACTTCAAAAAAAAGTTGTCATTAATTAAATCAAAATAGTTGCTGATATTTAAATTGGGGTCATTATAGTCATTTCATAAAATATATTAATGTCAGAAAAGTCTCAAGAAACTTGACACGAATTATCACATTTTGTGAGATCTCATTGTTATTTGTATATTTCAAGGGAATTTTTCTATCATTTTTCCAATTTTTTGCAAATACTAAAAATTTTGTGTCCGGCTAAGATATACTACCCGTTGATCTACACGTTTGTTTATTTATTTTTCTTTTTTTAAAAAATTTCCTTTTATATATCAATAATTGTGAGCTTCTTGATGTCATTCAATATAATAAGAAAAAAAATAAAAAGAAAAAAGATAAGATGAGATGAGATAAAAGTATACAATAATTTGTTAAAGGACCAAAAACCATTTGCTTTTGATATACCCTTAATTATCTTTCATGGTGTTTCAATCTTATTAGGTGAATCCAAACATATCACTCTTTTGTTTTCTTTTTTTACTTTCCAAAAATGTTTCCTTTTTATAATTCATCTTTCATTTTTATTTGTTTAAGTTGGTAAGTTGGGTGATTGCTATACCAATGTTGCTATATGATAGTGAATGGAGCATTGAAAGGACACAATAAGAGCAAAAAAAAAAAAATTGGGGTTGTAAAGATGATGATGTTGAAATGAATATGTGATATTGAGAGTGATAGAAAGATAGAAAAAGGATCCATAATGATTGTATATGAGAAAGAATTGGGATAGCATCTCTGAAAGAGAAAATAGTTAAAAGAAATTATTTGAGATGGTTTAGATATATATATATATATAAAGAAATATCCTTAAGGCACTTACAAAAAAAAATTGAGTGGATAATCTTCAATCTTATAAAGAGATTCAGAGTAGGACAAAAATGACACATGAGAAAGTTATCAAATAGAATCCACTTGATGAATAATATATGTGTGTTTATAAAGAATTGATTGTTGATAAAAATTTAAGTGTCATGTAATCCATGTGTGATAAGGCATGTTGTTATTATTATCATCATTGTTTGCATGTGTTTAACAATCATATCACTTTTTAATTAGAATTAATGAGCAAATACGACCCTGAACTATTACTCAAAAATTGTCCTAAATCCTAAACTCTTAAAATATGCAAAATAAATCTTAAATCTTTAAATTCATAACAAAATAAACCTTGACTGTTAATTTTTTAACACCATAACTGTTCATACAGGTATTATTTAGATTTTATTTTTCTATAAATTTAACCCTGACTATTAGAATTCTCATGTAAACAGTTACAATGTTAAAAATTAATAGTCATGATTTATTTTGCTATGAATTTAGAAGTTTAAAATTTATTTTACATATTTTAAGAATTTAGGATCCAAAATGATTTTCGAGCAATAATTTAGAATTCTATTTGCTCATTAACCCTTTTAGTTAAGATTTAACCCTAAGCTATGATGATCAATCATAAATATCGATACCAAGTATGTGATTTTATAAATGAATTTATGCTGATCTTAATTGACACGTCAATCGTTTTTGCTTTAATTTTTTTTTTATAGTTCTTGCTCATTTTATAATTTCATTGGACAGTAACTTTCTCATGTTACATACTAACTTTCCCTTGACAGCAAATAACACCAAATGCCATTGAAAACATAAAATTCACTCACAGCAACGAGAAATAAACAGCAGACACTAAATTCACCAAAAAATAAAACATGAAATCATAAATATAAAAGAAAAATGAGCAAACTCTTTCAAAAAAAAATTATGTAGTAATAATCAAAACATGAAAAAAAAAGAGCATGCAACTATAAAAGTTTTACTGTGTTAAATATTATATATTTTATAACATAAATGTTTAAACTTCAAAGATAATTCGGCAACCAGATTATAATATGAAAATATATACATGTTTTCCAGATGTGAAAGTATATAACAAACATAAGTGAAAGTAAAAGTTCTCATTCATATAAAGAAAAGTGGAATCTAAAGTATGCATTTAATTAATTACCACCCAAAAAAAAAAGTATGCATTTAATTTTATGTCAAGTACTTTGTCGATAAAGAGTACTTTAATTTGTTGACAAAGTACTTTAATAAACTTTAAGATCTTTTTATATCGTTAAATGCTATGCACGGATTATCGACATTAATTACATTTTTTTTTAGAATTGATATTTCTCCAATTTAGGGCACTAGAATGTTAACAATCATCTTCAGGGATCAATTTACATTTTCCTTTTGATTTTTCCATCTATCAATATGGGCAGATGCATTATTTTGTAATGTATTCATTTGTAATTTAAAGTTATTAATTAGGACCGACTTTAATAAGTCTAATTATACATTAGGACTCCATTTTGCAAGGTTACAAGGCCTTGGCCCTAAGAGGTGGAGGGTTTTCTTTTTCAATTTAAAAACCTAAAAAAATATATAATCATAAAAAAGTTATAACACATAAAATTAAGTTTAAAAAATAAATTTAAATCAATCCACACCATAACAAATATGTAAAACTTAAACATCCAAATATAATATCAAATAGCAGCATCAAATTAACATTAATTAATAAAAAATAAATTTTACTAGTATCATCAGCTAAATTTTGAAAAATGAAGGAGGGAGGAATGAATGAAATTTAAAAAATAATAAAAGAACTTAAAACGATCAGTCTTAGCTCTAAAGAGCTAGTTCTTTTATTTTTAAGTTTAAAAGAACTAGATTACTATTTTTTTTATATTAAAATAGTGGCCCAACAAGCTTGACCCTCATTGATAGCTCTAATTTGTATACACTTTGAATTCTCATGCGTACTCTAATCTCTTTCTCTCACTAAGTAATTCTAATTTCTTTTGTTTCTTCAAACAGATTAGAGATCCTTGTTTTGTATTATTCCCTGAAACCAAGGTACGTAAAACCGGACCGGTCATTGAACCGGTCATGACACTGGGTCACGGGTTAGTGGTTCAATTAGGGTTGAACCGGGGGTTAAACCGGTGGCAAATCAGTCATGATTTAAATAATACAATTTAAATAAAAAGACATTAATTATAAAAATATTTAACCAAATTCAACCACTCAAAAGTCTAACAGTAATAAAATACAGCACTTTAAATATCTATTATTACAATTACAACTCTTCAATCTCAAAAGTCTAAAGAAGAGATGGAGATAGAGCTAGAGAAGAGATGGAGATTGAGCTGAAAAAGAGACAGAGAGTCAAAGACTAAGCTGGAAAAGAGATGGAGATAGCAGAGATAGAAATAGAGCTAGAAAAGAGATAGAGATAAGGTTGGACCCTAGAAAAGAGACGAAGACTAAGTTAGAGAAGAGACGCTGATTAGGTTAGGGCGAGAGAGGAGAGACATAGATGAAAGGCCGAATTAAATGCTGTCTAAAAATTTGGATTGGACTTAGCGTGCTCTACCTTTAATTTTTCATTTTTTGACTTTAGTTTCACTTTTTTGTGTTATCTTATTTCTAAACTCAGCACTATGAAAAATAAAAAATGAAAAAAAATTCAAAAAAAAAAACTCGATTAACCCAGTCAACCCACCGGGTTAACCGGGTTATACCGGGTTAAACTCGGGTTGACTGGTTTACACCGATTCATCCCCTCACCGGTTTAGGAGTAAACCTAGACCGGACAAGGGACCGGGTTATTGGTTTTCGGGTTGACCCGGCCAGTCCGATCTGGGTTTCTATACCATGCCTGAAACTCAAGAAATTTGACAGCAACACAGAAACTGATATTCTCAATGGTACTAAAAGTATAGCAATAAGTCTCAGGCAACACAAATGACAAGCAAATAACATAGCATGAGAAACCAAAAGGGAAATGAAGGGGGAAGGGAAGAGTTCTATTCAATCTAATCAAACATAATTCAACCCAACTCAATCACAACAATTTAAAAACATGTTAAATTTAATTACTTTTAAACAAAAATTTAGTAATATAATGAATTAAAAATGAGACTCTTCCTAGGCATTTTGCTCACACTTCACACTAAATTTCATCCCTATATAATTCAATCCAACCTTATTCAACTCTACTCAGTTATAGCAACAATAAAATTCACAATACAATAACCTCAACATATATTAGTCCAAATCCTTTCACATTACAATAATCAATAGGTAGAAAATTTTAACACAAAAATCACATAGGTAGAATAAAATGCAAGAAAATTCATGTTCTCGACACAATTGTATGTAGAATTTAACTAAAAAAATTCAAGTTGCACATGATCAAATTCAACGAAAAAAAAAAAAATACAACACCAACATCTTCAAAAATTCAATTTTTACTACATAAAATTTTAAAAAAATGAAATTCCAACAAGCCAAAATCTAAATTATCAACAATAAGTAATTCTTAAACAATTTAGGTGGAATTACTCACTAAAACTTAAGCACAA